ACGCAATTCCTTTATGCGGATAACATTTTAGGTGCTGCAAAATAAGGACCGAAGATGATGACGAGGGCCAGAACTCAAGAGCAACTGTGCTGCTTCTGCAATATCCCTCAGAGGCCGCGCATTCCCACAGAACATGACAATAAAAACGGACAACATGACAATAAAACATGACAATACAAGCAAAACGCAATTTCCTAACATTTGAGGTATTGCTCATGCTTCAAAGTCCGAATAGAAGGTGATGAAGATGACAAAGGCTAGAAATGAACAACAACGAATGTAGATGTAAAAACAAAATTGAAAAAACTAAGGAAACGCAAATTAATTAAAATCGCGTGTGCATTTCTGCGATCCGGCTCGAATCCGGCTCCAAAGCCATAGAAATACTTTAAACTAACGAGTGGGACGCTTAGGCCGTTTTTATTTTCATGTTTGTGCGCGGCCTCCGAGGGATATTGCAGAAGCAGCACAGTTGCTCTTGAGTTCTGGCCCTCGTCATCATCTTCGGTCTTATTTTGCAGCACCTAAAATGCTTATTGTACTTGTATTCCAAAGCACAATTACAGGACTTGGCAAAAAGCCAAGAGAGCTGCACGCGACCGCGCCGCGCGGACGGTGTTAGCATAAACGTGAGTTTGCGAAATGGGCGGTGTGGCAAGGAATTACGACTTTCCCCGTACTCTGACCCCGTGCAGTTTTGGGCGGGGGACCACGACACATCGACAGCTGGGGGGCTGATAGTCTCATACACCCTCAATGTGTTTGAGCGTACCATGTGTCTTTAAATGTATTCTAGGGTTCCACTCTACACACTTTGAAAGCTCGTAGACTAGTGTATTTCTGGCTACATTAGCAACCCCATCTATTTGCTCGTGTATCCATGCAGCCCTGCTGCCGCTCCGTGTAAATTCCTTCGCTTCATATTTTACTTAGCAATAAAGCAATACGAGCACCAGGTACAGTCTGGGCGCGCGGACGCAGTGGTCGGGAGTCTGCACCATATGGGATTTATCAGAGGCGGTTTATCGACGGCGGACACAGCGGCCTTGCGCGGGCGACGGACCGTTTCTGCACCACCGCGTAATTCATCCTACTCGTCTCATGTGAGGTGACCTGCGTAGCGCGACTGCCTTTAAAAGGCCAGCGCCCGCGTCAATAACATTTGTTTGTTTCCACGGCCGCCTCTTTATAATATCGTAGCTCACCTAATGAGGAGGTGGACGTTACAAGTTGCGCTTACTCAAAAATGCGGAGGAAATAGCGACGCCACCCCGCCCTACTTGGGCGACCACTCACGCCCACCTGCATTTCTAATGACGTTAGCACTGCGATGGTGCATGCGTTGTTCTGTACTGACTCTTCAACTACTGCGCAAAATGATGAAGAGTGACGGTGGTGACAGGGGAAATACCAGTGATACCAACAAGTGAGAAGTTCGTCAGTCGTGCCTCTCTTCGCCGGAATGAACACGTGTACATGCGCTCGGATGGAGGGTTCAGGGCGAGGGTCCTAGTAGAGGGCCTTCCGCTATTTGGATTTCTTTGATGTTTCCAGTAATGAAATTAATTGTACCCAAGTAATTGAGCCGCCAGCGGATCCAATCTCGGTGTGGGGTCGCTATATAAGGCAAAATCCGATTGGATTTTTTTGCATTTTTCTCCAACTACATGAACTACATTGCTACTCGTTGGTAGATTGTCGGAGCTTCAATAACTTGTTCAAATTGAACGCGCGTCGAGCCGCTTGGCTTTAATACAAAGACGGTATTAAAAATGTAGAAAGAGGTTTGGCGTAGATTCAACCTACTCGAGGTGAACTGGCGCCGAATCGAAATCAACGGATGAATAACGCCTTCCATTTCGGAAAACCCTGCTCGGGGCATTACAACTTGCGCACCAGTGCGATTCGGTCAGAAATTTAAACCGATGAAAAGGAAACTCTGCTTATTCAATTAACTCCGCAAGATTCCGCTGAACAGTTGAAAAGGAGCCATACTCGCTTCGAGTTCGTAGACTGATTCCTAGAGTGCAGAGAAAAGACAACAATCTGATTGCAACAGACCGTGCAGTCGTTCTTCGGTCCATTCCAGGATCAATTCATCAAGGAGAAGATCCTTAGGCCAAATGCCCGCAGCCCTTTTCGCTTTTTAGAAACGATTTCCCTTCTTGAAATGGCGAAGTGGAGAAGAGCACTAGAGGTGGAAGACCCCTTCCCAGACCATCAGCAGCGTGTCTTTTAGTGCGCGGAATTCTGTCCCGCCAGGCGTGTCAATCCTACTCGTCTTAGGGATTTATCGTGCCAACTGCGTTCAACCATTAAAGATCCTAGAAGAACTATTCAAAAGATTGCTTTTTCTAATTTTCCTATTTCTTTTTTTCCTAACAGTATTCTTTTCTTTTCCAGGAGCACACGACATTGGTGGACTCGACGAGTGGTTTTCAAAGAATAATACCACCGATGGCTTATTCGCTAAAGATCAGAAGTAAGTTTTGTGGACTAGGGTAAGATCACTTTGTAGAAAAGGTCCTATTTTGACTTCAGATACGATCGCTCAAATTGGGAGCCGCAGTTCGTCTCTCATTCGCAAATTCCTTTCCATGATGAGCGATTTCCATTTCAGCTTCGAGACAATACCGTACTGGTAGGTTTCCTTTGGAACTGTCTTATTGATGACGGTTTCATTATGAATTTAATAATAGCGATGGGAACTCTGTCGTGCAAATTATACGATTGACGTTTTGGACGACGTTTTCATGTTTCATCGAGGAATAAAATTGCCAAATAATGGGAAATCGTTCAAGGTTCAGAAGCGGAACTCAGCCAGGTAAACATTCCGATTGCAAACTTGAAGTATGAGCCTGAGGCTAAGAATTCCAGGTTTGATGAGGCTTTGAAGACATTTAAACAGCGAATGGACAAGGAGTACCCGGAAACGAAGCAACGTTGCCCTACACCAGAACGATGACTTCAAGGAAATGTTGAATCAAGAAGCAGAAGACCAGGGTCTTCGACCTACTGGATGGGCCTCTTCTGGGCCATTGCTAAGGGATGCTCTCGATCAAATCGACGGGAGAGACTGCAGCTGAGAAACATTGAAGTGTGGAGTGTGAACTACTCTGACCGCTGTTCTTGAATGAAGTTCTATTTACAAAGTATAAGGAAGAATTTGACCACGGAACGCATAAATAAAATTGATAGGGTGAGATGAGCAGTACTGATAGATCCCCGCATTACCCTCAACATTTTTAGTCATTTTGATAAACGTTATTAATTGTAATGTATCTGTATTGTTAATAAACGAACTGAACTTGAGGGAGGATATCAGAAATTCCAGCTATGATCTGCAGGAGCTAGCGAGGGATGCACGAACCGCCGTAAAAAACTAGTGGCGACTCGCCCTTGCGACCATGCCTTCGACGCCAACTCGCGATCTCATTGGCCGACCCCCTTTCCCAAGGAAAGGGCTGCAGCCTCGCGCATATATTCTTGGATAAACAGATTGTCCATCATCAGAATATATTCCACTTACAGATCTGAACTTCTTGTAGATCTTGGTCGTTCAAAAATGTAGATGGTTTTATTTTATGTAAAGCGAAGAAGAGAAAAGAATATAAAGAGTAATGTTCCGGCTTTATGATGAGTGGTTATAGCTTCCATGAGTGATCCGCTCCTATTGCCCAGGAAGCGCTCTTGGGAAGATTTTCTATATTCGCTTTTAACAAGCGCTTTCTTGTTCATGCCATGTTCGCATCGACGCAATCGCTCGCTAAGCCGTTTCGTTGGACAGCACCATTCAACCGGCCGAAACAGCTGAGAGTGATGGTTCGACGAAAACGTTGATGGATGGGCAATAAACAATTTGAGCTAGGCTCCGTACTGTTTGTGTTCGAGGTACTGCCGCAGTATAGCTAGTTGGTGGCCTGGCATTGCAATAAATAACGGTGGCCTTCTTGTAGCTGCGTGGTACCATCCATCTATCGGATTGATTGTCGAGGAACAGCCAATATACATCGACAGTGACGGTATTGTTCTCTGTATAAGCCGCTTGAAAGCTATAGCGGAATCTATTGCGATAATGATTATGTCACTCACGGCTGTAAGCTCACGTAATTCCTCATGGCAGGATTCGGTTGGCTTCTCATCCCCTTTCTCTCGAAGCCGACGATTATTAATTTGGGCACGGAGTACAAGGCCACCCCATTCTATTTAAGGTCGCTGTGCCTAAGCATAGTCTCGAAGGATGTCTCAGGAACATTGCTGCTGCAGGATTAGAGTCGGATCTGTAATTCTGATGGAAAATACAAACCGAAACACACCATCTTATCCATCCTCAAATTTTCGGGAGTGACTCGCAACAGTTGCAGCAGGAATGTCAGTCTCGCAAGCAAGCTCGGCAAGGGTTAGGTTCGTGTGATTTGACGTTCAACGCTTGACACTTTCGTTCTTTGCCAGCTTCCAGTAATACAGAAATCAGTTGTAGCTCCTCTGCTTTCCATTCCCCCATTTGTTTCCACATTTTTGAATGAGGTAACATGGGTTACAGGGTAGCAATACCCCGGTGCCTCTCCACACTCCGCCCGCGCTGTCGCAGAGCCAGCCGCACTCGTAACCGTGGGCAAACGCGCTACTTGTGTGCGCCCTCTCTCTTCGGTCGTTCTCTGCCGCTGAGTGTGTGTTTCGCAACGCGAATTCGGCATCGGCGCAAGTACTGGACATTGAGAATAGCGGGGGCGAAGTATGGAGATGGCGATTGGTACACTACCCTCCTGCCCTAATCCCATACAGTTTTTGGGGGGAAAATCGCACGCCAATACAGCTGCGGTGCCTATTCTTCCTGTGCATGTCAACGACCGTAGCCTGAGTGTTCAGTCCCGCTTTAACGGCACCTCCATTTACTGGCCCTTTCCCACCTTCTGCTCCATTCTCGTCCAGTCAAAGCTGCGTTTATAGTTTGCGGCAGCGTACGCTAGCGTTTCCAGCGTTCGGCAGCGGCAGTGGCAAGGGAAGGATGGATATCGATCTAGCGTCACCAGCGTACGCTAGCGTAACGCTAGAATACTCTAGCGTTACGCTGGCGTACGCTAGCGTAGCGAGGGCAAGGAAAGCATAGGTATCGATTTAGCGTTTTCAGGTATATATGTATATGTATGTTATATGTAATATATAGGGTTTGGGTTTACATAGGGTTTGGGTTCTCTCAAGGGTTTGGCAATCTAGGCTCCGCCCCTTGACCACGCCCACTTGCTTTTTGCGGAATTTTGATTTTTTTCAAAATTTTTGCATTTTTGGACTGCTACGTGAAGCCCCGCCCACTGTGAGAGGCTCCGCCCACATTTGGAAAATGGTGCAAATCGGCAGTATACTCGGCCTGCATGCTAGGGTCTTGTCTGTCACTCGGAACAAATAAATGGCAAAGTTTGTGGGGAGGATATTCTTCTCGAGTTGCCGATGTAACCGCCAGCGCTCTCCTTCCACGAAGAAAATATCGGTCTTTCCATTCCAGGTACGTCCGGTCCATACCATCAACCCGCGCCTTGGCGAGGTGAAGATGATGTCCTAGACCGTAGCGACGTTGCCGGAGCTGCTCGATGTTGGAGGTCTTCCAGATCAAGAGTACTGGTCTCCAGGTATGGTGGTACATGGATGGCTAGAAGTTTCGCAGCTGTTTGGAGGTGACATGAATTCCAAAGGTCTTCTCCAGTCAGGCTGCGACTGGAGATGACTTCATATTTTGGTGTACATGAAGGTGATGGGCGAGAGCCAGCTCCTGCTTATCGAGGAACATCTTGGGTATCTTCCGCCCTGGTACTCGTATCCACGTCCTCTGTCTGGGCTGCGAAAACTTTGCTGATATGTGACTCGGTCGAAGTGTCTTTTTTTTATTGCCCCCCTCCCTGTAGTTCAAACACCCGCTCAGTTGGACCGCTTACCTAAACAGATGTACCCCACATCTAACGCAGGGCCGCTCAATTGCTCATTGTTGGGACGGCGGGCGCAAGCGAGAATTGCATGTCCATTTTTGCCAACCGCGCTCGTGCTCATTGGTAATTTTGCTCACTTTCACTTCATATTCTTCATTAGGAGCCACAGTCAATCAGTCACCAACAATCCATCTCATAAGGTAAGTCCAGTCCATAAGGTAAGACGTGTTGAAATCACCAGTGATGCGATTTTTGGTGCAAAAGCTCGAGGTGCACCTAAAAAATACCGGCTACCGGAACCCTAAATTCGTACGCAGAATTTTCGAATGTCCTTTTTGCTACGAGTTTTCCGTCGGCGTTTTTGTGGTTTTTGTTTTCTTTTCTTTGCATTCGATGATATTTACTACTGGGAGATGCGAAAAAGCGATTTGTGAGCCAGGGGTTGCACAGAGACCGCAGGGCGGTGTGACTGTCAGGGAGCGATTTTGTTTATGGTGTTCTTGGAGATTCTTCTTGCTTTCTTAATTACTTATGAGCTACTGGTCCATAATGAAAAGCAACTATCCATAACACCAAGCGCGGGAACTGTCTATAAGAGATAGTTTCACTTCAGGATAGTCCTACCAGGACACGTCGTAATTCAGAGGTATTCTACGTAGTTCACGCTCACTATTTACCCCCTCTTCTTGGCAAGGCAGGCAGAACCTCTATTTCTGATATTGCATACGAAGATGTCTACTCTCCCCCTTTTGACGGAATACTTTTTAGGAGAATTTGATGGGCGTTCAGGCCCAGAAGTCATACCGTAAGGCTGCCGAAATTGTTTTGTGCGTGTTCAGCGAAAATTCTCCCCATGCCCATTGCCGATGCTTGTCCTGAGTCCTACACTATGCATTAAAGAGATACAATGGCATGTGGATAGAGAGCCCTTGCGGTCGTCATCCTTTTTTTACTCTCTGACGTCGTTTGGCTATTGGCAAGGACAACTTTTTCACACAGCATCAGAGCTCATTTTTCGGCTGAGCAGCATTAGTCTCGAAATAAAGAACGCTATTTGTTGAGAGAGTCTCCGCCGTCAAGAGGCCCATCCATTCAGTGCACAGAACATACGGACAATGTCAGCACCTGCTCTAAAATTAGCCAGAGCAGTTCATTTGAGTAGATACTGCAGTCTGGTTCTAAAGGAATCTGCACCAGAGTCAAGCATATGTCGTGGAATAGTCGGCAATGTAGACGAGGTGGGGGCGGTCTTCCTTGGAGGGGGGTCGTATATATCGCAGCAGGAATGGCACGTGCAACGGAACTAGACCTAACCCCCTTTGAAATAAATATTACGCCAAAATCAATTCAAAAAAATTCAGTATATAAGGATTATGTCACAGTTTTATACGTTGATGTTGTAATCATTATAACAATTATAAACTAATTATATCATTATATTCAAACATTTGAATTTATTTAACATTTGAATCACATTAATACAATGTAGCTCGAAGGATGAGTGATGCGTTCGGAAAGGAAGTTAGGTACGTGGCGCATCTCGCAATCAGAGGTGTTGATTCAGCTCTGTGCTGCGTCGGCACCTATTCACTACGATGAGGAAGTGTACGGAAGGCCTTTCAAGTCTTCCAGATGGAAATGCTGGCTTTGCAGGGGGTAGATTTTTTCAAGTGGACAGCCTGGTCGCGATCAGAACCCCTCTCCAGGGGCAGACATGAGCCGCCGTAATGGTGAAGTGGGTTCAATATCGGCAGTAGGATTAGAGGAAACCCCCATTGTCGATTTCACACTTTAATTTAGTCGCTTGAAAATCTCTTGTAGTTGGGCGCTGTTTATCGTACGGGGGGGCATTCTGCTTTTTCATAGATTTGGCCAACGCCATCTAGGTATCCTTTGTTTTCGAGTTCGACACGTTTTTGGGATGGTGGCTTAGACGAGTCTTGGCTCGGCAGCTTCACGACCGTCTCACCGAAGTTTATCAGAGTGAAATTTGTAAAACGAAGATGAAGGGAAGCAATTATAATAAAAAATGCCCCCCCGTCGA